TACAAAATGCTTTGATCAGCCTAGGGGCTCTAACATCTTTTTAATTGACCCATTCAGCTTGGGAAGAAGGGAAATGTTTCCAAGCAACCAAATATTGCAGTCATAATACGTCAAAGAGTTTTTGGTAATTTCAATTGAACTGCCACAGGGTTTACAACCCTTTCAATCAAGAAAGGACCAACATACTTAGGACCAAGTTTCTTTGACTTTTGAGTGGTTTATAGTGGACAATAGGGTGAAATTATTTCAGTTCCTAACCTCCAATTAGATTATAGATTACAACCAGATGTCTTCTTTGTTATGATGGTTATTTTCAAATGTTATTGGGATACCATTAGTCTGCTTAATTTGGTTCACATTGTCTTTGTGTGTTTAAATCTGGTGGACAAGAAAACCTTGTCGCCTACTTGATATGGTTTTTGGGGAGTTCTCTTTTTGTCTGCAAACTTCTTATGAGCTTGATGCGCATCATCTAATGCTTTACAAGTGACTGGCCAATTAAGCTGGAGTTGTTTTTATCCATTCATCTAATGATTGAATGTTAGGCCTTTCACGAGGAAGTTCAGGTATGGGTACAAAATCTTGTCCTGATGCCACCTTGAATGGGGTAAATCCAGTACTGCTATGTACAGAATTGTTATATGCCACTTCAGCAAATGGCAATAGGTCAGCCCAATTATCTTGCTGATAATTTATGTAACATCTAAGATATTGCTCTAATACCACGTTAGTCCTCTCACAAGCCCCATTGGTTTGGGGATGGTGGGCGGAGCTTAAGCCCTGGGCGGAGCCCAATAATTTCAGGAACTCTTTACAAAAGTTTGAGGTAAATTGAACACCCCTGTCTGAGATTATGCGCTCAGGAACCCCATGTAATCTATAGACATGCAAAATAAACAGTTTAGCCAATGTTTTTGCAGATGGAATCTTCGAACAAGGTATGAAGTGTACTTGCTTGGAAAACAAATCAGTTACCAGCCAGATAACTGTGTTTCCGCCGCTTTCGGATAATTCCACTATAAAGTCCATAGAGATTTCCTTCCATGGAGCCGTTGGTCTAGCCACATTTTGTAACAACCCTGTTGGCTTACCAGGAGGTCTTTTTGCTGATGCACAAATCGAACAGCTAGCCACATAAGTTTCAATGTCCTTCTTCAACGTGGGCCACCAGAATTGCTGCTTAACCAGGTGTAAGGTTTTCATGAATCCAAAATGGCCACCTGCTTTAGAATCATGAGCTTGTTGTAATATTTGGCTCCTCAGTTTCTCTGGCACATACAACTTGGTTCCCACCCAGGCCAATCCATCTCTAACTGTACAGTTATTCGAATGAGCCAGGAACCAATCATCAAGTTTTAGAGCTTCTTTTAGTTGTGTAGTCAAGCCATTCGATAAATCCACTTCTTGCTTCTTCTTTTGAGCTCTAGTAACTACTGGAGCTGCTAGTTGTTTGGTTGAGACAATCGGCCGTATTACTTCCTGGCGAGCACTATTATATTGAGGTAGTCTAGATAGAGCATCCGCCATGAAGTTCCTCCCCGCTGGAATGTACTTCAATGAGAAATTAAACCGTTTAAAGTACTGGGCCCAGCGAACTTGTTTGGGGGACAGCTTCTGAGGCATTTTTAAGGCCTCCAAATTCTTATGATCAGTACATACCTCAAACGGGTGTTTTGCTCCTTCCAAGAAATGTCTCCAAGTCAGTAGAGCCCAGCGGACTGCAAAAGCTTTTTTTTCCCAGACGGCCCACCTTCTTTAGGTTTCAGATAGTTTACGGGAAGTATAGGCACAGGGTTGTAAAATCCCTTTCTCATTGATTTGAAGTAACACCGCTCCAATGGCCACATCACTAGCATCAGCTTGGAGCAAAAGCCAGGATAAATTGCCAGTAAAAATTGGCGAATCCCAAGAAACTCTGAAGTTGTTTTCTGGTGCGTGGGGGGGGGGCATTCCAACACGGCACGCACTTTCCCTGGATCCATTTCTATGCCCTCATGTGAGATGCGATACCCCAAATAGTCGATTTTCTCTTGATGGAACTCACATTTGGACAGTTTAGCATACAACTTAGTGGCTCGGAGTTTCTCTAAAGCTGATCGCGCTAGTTTCACATGTTCATCCCAAGTCTCCGTGTAGATAAGGATGTCATCAAGGTAAACCAAACCCCCCTTGTATAAATGTTCATGTAACACCTGATTGATCATCTGCATGAATACGGCTGGGGGCCCCTATAGGCCAAACGGGAGAACATTGAATTGGAAACAACCCATCGGGCAGTTAAAAGCGGTTTTCCATTCATCTCCTTCCTTAATTCGAACTTGGTAGTACGCTTCTCTCAAGTCTAGCTTTGTAAAAAAATTTCCCTTGGCCAGGTGGGCCAACATGTCCTTCATCAGGGGGAGGGGGTACACGTTTTCCATGGAAATAGCGTTCAGGTTTCTATAGTCAACCACCAAGTGCATGGAGCCATCTTTCTTTTCACGGAACAATACTGGGGCCGCTACCTGGGGTCTAGCAGGTTGGATGAAACCACGTTCCAAATTTTTATCGATAAACGACCGCAGCTCTTCTAATTCCCGTGGTGTCATCGAATAAAACTTCGGTTTCGGGAGCTTCACCCCAGGTAAAATTTCAATACTACAATCTGTTGACCGATGAGGGGGAAGCTCATCCGAGGCCTTCTCACTGAACACTTCCTTTAAATCACAATATTCCACTGGAATTTTCTCCTCCCCCTTCAAGTTCCCAGTACCTGTGAAGGCTAACTCAACCGGATTCTGAAGCTTTGGCTGAGATTGCCCCCCCCTTTCCAGCCGCTGGTTGGTACGTATGCGCAACGACCTCTTCCTCCAGTTGACGTGGGGGTTCCACTTCCGGAGCCAGGGTAATCCCAGTATTAGCGGTTGCTCCATTCCAGGGGCCACAATAAAACACAGGGTCTCTTTATGCTCTCCCATGGTCATTTCTATGGGTTCTGTTATGAAGCGTGCAGGGCAGCCCCCCACCACTGATCCATCCAATTGGCAAAAGGCTATGGGCGTTTTTAAAGGTTTTAGTCTTAAGCCCATTTTCTCTACTACTCTCGTGTTGATTACACACCTCGTGCACCCAGAGTCTAGCAAGGCTAGCATTTCCCCTTCGGCCCCTGATGTGGGTACCCTTAACTTCACTGGAATGGTCATAGGGCCCTTGTTTGGACTTACCAGGGAGTCATCTTCCGAATCGGATTCACTCTCTTCAGAGGAGGTCGGAGGTCCCAGCTCCTCTCCTTCCGGAGGGGCGACCTCTACAACCTCCCTCGTCTTTAGCGCCATTTCGTGTGGTTTCACTGGGGGGTTTTCAGGATTCTTCCCTCCTCTTGGCGCCCCCTTTGGTTCCAACTTGGCCCTGCAGTCCGCAGCCTGATGACCTTCCTTCCCACATCGGAAGCAGGCAGTGGTTTTGGGTCTTGCCGCCATCCCTCCCTTTTGGGGCTTGAGTACTTCTTGAGGATGTGAGGGGGAGGGTTTTCTCCAACCCAGGCCCACCCCCTCTTCATCCTAGGGCACACAGGGAGGAATGGAGAAAAGAGCAAAATGGCTTGCGTGGTTTACGGGGGAGGAAAGGGCCCTGATTCCCTTCATTAGGCACATCTGGGAAGAGAGTTTCAAAGAGATGCAAGCTGAGAGTGACTCTTCTGGGAACAAACGTGAGTTTATCTTGTGTTGACTTCGGTTATCTGTTTTCCTGGCATCCTCCCAACTGGGCTGATTTATTGCTGTTCCTTCATGCCTGGAATTCCTTCTCTTGCCCTGCCAGATTAATTACCTCATCTTGCCTTGATTGGACTTTTAGTTAAAGTTTTTGTTGACGACATTTTGGACTTGAATCTCTGTAGCCAAAGGCTGTTCCTGGGAAAGTTTTTCTCCAAGGTAGCCAGGACATTGGGGGAAAAGTTGGAGCTAATAAAGGGACTCCTACTTATTATTACATACTTATTATAGTCGTATTGCCTTTGTGCCACACCCCAGGTCATCACAGCATCCAGTTTTGGTCACCACACTATAAAAAAGAGGCTGAGACTCTAGAAAGATGCAGAGAAGAGAACCCAAGATGATAGGGGACTCGAGGCTAAAACATACAATGAACGGTTGCAGGAACTGGCATGGCTAGTTTAGTGAAGAGAAGGATCAGGGGAGACATGGTAGCAGTTTTCCAGTATTTGAGGGACTGACAGAGGAGGCGGTCAATCTAGTTTCCAAAGCAAGGAACAATGGATGGAAACTGAACAAGGAGAGATTCAACCTCGAAATAAGGAGAAATTTTCTGACAGTGAAAACAATCAAGCAATGGAACAGCTTGCCTTCAAAAGTTGTGAGAGCTTCATCACTAGAAGTTTTGAGACTGGACTGCTATCTCTCAAAAATGGTGTGTGGGTGGGTTGGACCACATGACCCTGCAAGATCCTTCCAACGATGTTAATCTGTATCTGACTTCTATCAGAGATCAGCATTGTAGTAGTAAACATTTGGAGAACACCAGATAACAAAAAATTGAACCTACAATTTGCTTGGCAACTGTGTCCTCCTATAAATTCCTAAATTGATAAAAATGTGATGCACTGAAATAACCAAGCAGTAATATAGGAAAGAGGAAAGGAAAAGACTCTCCCCAGAAAACTCAAACTTTACTTCAGTTCCTAATCCCATTTTTTTCCTTGTTTGCTCGTTTGGCCAGCTCTCTGCTGCAGTACACTGAACATTTTAACGCCTGGACGAAAGGGCTTGAGCGAGCAAGCATCTATTTTGCAATGAAATAGTCCCAGGGGGACCGCTCAACTCCCGGGCTTGCCAGCAACTAAAAGTAAAAAAAATTCTTGGTCGGAAGGGAAAGGGGCGGGGCGTTTGTTGTAATTGCCTGGGTCCTCCAGGGGGCGCGCGAGTAGAGCTTCCCCCTTTCCCCGCCCGCTGCCCAGCCTCTGCTCCTTCTGTGGCTGGGTGCCCGCCCGCTTTTTCAGAAAGAGGGGGAAGCACGCCTAAGGCGGAGGTGTTTGCCCGATTTTCCCACTCCTCTGCGGACATCGATCGGAGGATGCAGCCCGGCTTTCCAGAGGCATGAAACTCCCTTCTCTGGCAGCATTTCCCCTCCACCGCACAACGCCTTTGCTGAAAGCGAATTTTTCAGGAGTCCTGGAGATTCCCACTTGATCGCCGTCCAGAAAGACACTGTGTACTATTGAACACTTGCTTCTATATAGATCGGGTTGTGCAGGTAAGAGAGCAATGCGCTTGCCGGGCCTCCCGAAGCTGCTTGGCTCTGCATTACAGAGGGCGTGTTCGCTAACTTTTTTCGGATACATTGTCTGCCGGTAATTTAGAAGGATGCTTGGATCTCGGGTTTGGTCTCTTTTCCCCGACTAAGATCAGGCAGCTTTTATTGGGAAGGACCCAGATCGACAGCATATTAGAATCGATGTATTAAATTAGCCAAACGGGAAATCTCTCCCGTTGATTTCCATTTTTTCTAAATTGGGGTTTAATCAATTTTATACATTGACTAAGTCTACCTACAATCCTCGGTCAATTTCGCCGGATTGCAAACAGTGATAATAGGGAAGTTTCCCACTGTCCCGGGCACAGATAACCCGGGATTCCTTTGCAGCTTAGTTTCCAGTGGTTACTGGAATCAACTCTTTGCCCTGATGCCCCCAATTGATTTAAGGGTGTCAAGAGAAATGAGTGGTATATCTGAATCTTTGGGCTTCCACTGATGAAGGTGATGGTATAGAAAAAGGGTTTTAAGCAATTGTGAAGTATTTTTATTGAAGGGTTTTCACTTGGAAAAGTTTTTTTAAAAACTTATTTTGTGATTTCTTTATTTCTAAGTCTTTTTTCCTTTCATGGATGATCTAATTTCCAAACTTACTTTTAGAGAGAAAGCATCTCTAGCCTTAAAATGCTGACTTTAAGCATCTGCTTTAAATCCCAAATTTTATCAGGTAAGGAAGGGTGTTTAATTCCCTTGAGCTGTGCTCTGTTCAAGTGACAATTATTGTATCTGATCCTTCAGATTTCAGATCCACCTCACATATTAATCTGGTGTGGTAGACCAGGGAGGACCAGCCATTGTTTTGGATAGGACCAGTATTTGTGCAGACTTATGTGACAATGCCTACAGACTGAGGGAATCCCAGTTTATTATTTAGAATATACTATGTAATTTGAACTCCAATATACAGGTCTTCTAACACAATAGAACAAGATAGCTTCCACTTACTTGCCTGTCTTATTCTGGATGCTTTACATGGCCTATATTTGAGATTTAATTTCAGAAGACAGAAATAAGCATTGTGTAAAGATAAACAGATTGCTCATCCTTATATTTTTCATCCACTTGTAAACAGTGTTGAACAGAATTATAATACTGTGATAATATTATAACCCTCTCCTCCCATTACATCAGATACTTATCAGAAGGCCACCTTTTTCAGTTTTTAGATGTTACTGTTCTCCAATTTCCAACAATTAATTGACTGAGAATGATGAGATTGGAGCCAAAGTGATGTCTCTGGACACCAAGCCAGGAAAGTCTGAAAAGAGTGTATGAACAAAGTGGAAAATATTTCATCATTGGTCTGATTGATTGATGTAGTTCCTATAAAGGGCCAGATGATAGACCATCCCATCCCCAAATGTAAATCCAACTCCTGTTGTATTTAACATAAAATGTTCCAATGCAATCTGGGCAGTAAGACAGTAGAAAATGTTGTATTTGTATAATAATTACAGTAAAATATAAAAATATATAAAATTGCCATTGATCTTTTTAAGGAAATGTGAAATACAGTAAAGATATAAACTGCTGATGGCTTGAAATTACTAGGACAAAACATTAGTAACATACAGTTTGGAATTTAGTGGAATTAATAGGTGACATCATTTTTTAAAAATGTGAATATGTGTCTTTTTTTTCACCTGAGACAAATTCTTTTGGAATAATGCAGGGACAATTTGTGTAAGAGTTCTCTTCCCCCATACAGGTGTAGTTTAATTTAGCTTTTTTGGCTACTTATGTAAAAGGCTTGATTGGCTAAGATGTTTGATTTTAATTCCTATTTCTCTCTTGCATGATAAGTGAGAGATTTCAAGAATGACATTACCCTAAGCATCTTTCCTCAAAAATAACCCCTGCTGAATCTGTAGGGCTCCCTATCAGTTGAATTGTACACACATTGGTAGATTTAAAAATTATCAAGATTATTTCCTACATATTGATGAAAGCATAGGGCTCAGTGGTTAAATGTCAGGGTTTGGCTTTCAAACTTCCCAAATATTAATCTGGACATATTTGTTTCATAATAGAACATAGAGATGAACATTTTCTCAATTTAAAACCCTAACTAGAATATAAAATGAATTATATGCAAATAAAATGAATTATATACAATAAAATGCATATAAATGAATTATATGCAAATATATATAGCTATAGAATAATATCAAGGATGCCATTGTCCACCAAACATGCAGATGGAATGGGCAGAAGCAAAGAACTAGAGAAAAGATTATAGATAGACTGTGAAAGGTTTGCAGAAATTTATAGATTAATTTAATAGCATGCAGTACGTTGTGGGGCTGCCTGTGAGGGGAGATGGGTAGCAGTTGTTCAGAGAATAAACACTTGCATATTTATTTAGATGTGAAGATGTTCATATATGGAAAAAATATGATTTCATGCAGATAATATATAGGTAAGGTTGAAAGTTCAAACACATACCTTGAATATATGTTATTGGATGGAGTAAAACTAACTGCTGAATAGATAGATGCATAGGATTACCCTGTAAATTGGGTCACTTTACTTAAGCATTCATCATTAGTAGGGTAGAGATCTATGCCTATGTGGGCACCCTATTGGCATTCAAACATTAAACAAATGCTGACAGCTGAGTCCATGACTTAAGAGTTACCAGCTGGAGAGAATTCTGTACAGGTGGACTCAGTTTTAATTAGACTTAATTCCACTGGCTTCAGGGAACTTACGTATAGGCTTGCAGTTTTCATAATCTTTGTGGGACATTTGGGTACATTTTTTAATGAATATTGTGAGTAGATTGTAGAATATATATATATTCTAATTATACATATACACATATACATATATATATACATGCATGTGCGCACGCACACACACACACACATATATATTCTTTATATTATTAAAAACTGATAGTGTAGAAAGCCTATTTTATTGGAGAAAATCTATTTTATTGGAGAGAGCAAATAAAATGTCTGTTATACTCCTTAGGTTTAAAATAGCTGCTGCACTGTATACCCCGTCAATTTGAGGAAGAAAACAAACTGAGTAAGGTAAAAACCTAACATTAGATTAACCAACAGTGCTATGCAAAACATCAAATATTTCTTCTGGAAGAAATTGCTTTATTTCAAATCAGACTACTTTTTGATGGCTGATGTTTATTCTGAATAGCAGCAGCTCTCTGGGCTCTACTCAGTCTTCTTTTAGAGCTGTTTCCTGATTCCTTTTCTATTGAAGAGATCAAAGATTGAAAGTTAAATCTTTTGCAGGCTGAGCATGTTGTATTCCACTCCTGAGTTACAATTGGTTTCTGTAATGTAATCAGTAGAAAGATAGTAAACATGAAGTTAGCAGCCTAGGAAGCACACATCACAATCCAAAGCTAAGGCTGAAATCCTGAACTTCTAAAAAGGGCACAATTTATCAGATATTACTTCCAAATTAACACAAATCAGCTCAATTTATAATAAGAGTTTATAAGCACACGAGGTTGCTCTTGAAGAGTATTTGGAAACTGCAGGTGGTGCAGCCACGCAGAGTTTTTGCAACCCTTAGGGTGGCCTATGTTTCACTGCTGCTGCATCAGCTGCAATGATTGCCAGCTTGCTTCCGGGTACAATTCAAGGTATTGGTTGTCATTTATAAAGCCCTTTTTGGCATGTGTCCAAGTTATCCGAGGAACTGTCTGTCCCCAATGGCCTTGTTCCACCCCATTGTGCTGCCAGGAGAGGACCTCATAAATCAAGAAATTCTGGCTGGTAGGGTTGTGGTTCCTGCCCTTTGGAACATTGTGCCCCCCTCAAGGTGAGATCTGCACTCATTCAAAAGAGCCTGAAGACCCTGCTCTACCATCTGGCTTGGGGCCCCAATAAAGGCATATCATTCTGGAGGTCAGATATGACTGAGATAAGATTCTATCTCCTCCCCACATGCATCTTGCTCTCTTTTCTCACCTTTAATGATTTTTAATCAATTCTAGTGTTAATATTTATTTTATGTTTTAATGTTTTATCTTGTTTTTATTTGGTTGTAAGCCACCTAGAGCTGCCTCTTGGTGAGATGGGCAACATACAAAATAAATAAACAAACAAATTACTTTGCACATTCTGTCATGTGGTAGAATTTACTCTATAGGCCAGGGGTGCATGTTGTCATGTTGGCGTCACATGACATACCGTGACATTTCCCCCCTTCACTAAACTGGGGGGTGGGGGTGGCCAGCATGTGACACATCTGGCCGTGGGCCGCACGTTTGACAACCCTGCTATAGGCCTTTATTTCAGAGCCACCATGGTGTTGCTCTTTGCTGCATCTTGCATTCAAATTATTGTTTTGCATGCATATGACTGTAGTTGCTACCTTATATCAATTTATGCTATTGTAGTCATGGGAAAAAGAAAAGACCTTCCTAACACCCCTCCTCAAAAAAAAAAAAAAGCCAGGGGTTTGAAAAGTCAGAAATCACGTGTCCTTTGTGGTGATTTCCATAGGCTCATCTACAGCAACACATGCAAGACATGAACCAGAACGGTCCAAAAAGTCAAGATAACAGCCATAATGGATGCACACATGAGGCATGTAAAAATCAAGCAGACCTTTCGTTCCACTGACGATTAAGAGGTTTTGGACCATATTGTGTGGGCAGCCTTGTCACTGAATCTTAACAAGGAGAGCTCCATTTTTACTTTGGGGCAACCTGTTCCAAAAGGCACCATAATAAAAAAGTACTCTTCTGCAGGCAGGCCAATTCTACAAATATGTGAAGTACCTAAGTTCCAAGGCAAATGGAGATCTAGAGCTAGTGATCAGCACCCTGAACCATGAAATCTATTGATAGTTTCTGCAACAAAGACTTAAATATCTCTGTATTACCAATTAGCAGGCAAGTAGCTGAATTTCCATCAACTGTAGCTTCTGAGTACTCTTCAAAGACAAACCCATAAATTATTTGT